GACTTGGCCTGTTCCGGTCGCAAAAGGAGACCACACGACTATTGTAAATGCGATGTCTGCTACCTTTTAAAACCGAATCAGGTTGACAGAGTCCCCCAAAAACAGGGACTTAAAAATTGGCTATTTTGCACAACTGACTGGAATTAAGGAGAAGGGAGACAATATTCTCACAGCTTTCTCTCCACAACGAGCACTTATCCTGTTACAAAAGACGATTATTGCTTAAGTTGTGCGGATGGCTGCAGGCATCCTGGTTGTGAGGCATATGCTCCGTGCATCGCACAACTGTTGCTGTGTGTGTGTCACTTTCCTGTTGATCTCTCTTTAAGCACCGGGTTTCTTAACTTTGTCCATTTTTAAGTTGGGTGGACTTCAACTCCCAGAATCTCCCAGGTAGCAGTTGGAGTCCTGATCTCTTAAAACAGGTTGGCTGGGGAATTCTGGGAACTGAAGTCCATACATTTCCCCTCCTGGGAAGGATAGACTGAGGTTTTTGGGGGTTGTTTTTAACTGTTGTGAGCTGTCCGCTTGGAATGAATAAATTGAATAAATGAATGGGTGGATAGAAAATCACAGGGTATTTTGGGGGCTTCTCTCACTTTCTCAGCCCAGGCCTCCCTCGCAGGGTTATTGTGGGGATTAAATTAAGGGAACCTGCTTGTGACCTTGGGAAAAAAAGCCGATATAATCGATCAATAAAATTTGGCTGTTCTTATAGGCTGCTAATGAGATGCTGGTTCTTCTTTGCATCCCAGAAGTAAATATGTAAACATTGCTCTGGTTTTAAACTTGGTAAAAATATGTCTCCTGGAAAGAGCATTAAGAAATGAGTGTGGGAACGAACCATCAATCTCTTAAAATCTTTATTAAAGTTGATTCCTCCCAAAACACCTGTGAATTTCTGTTTTTTTTTAGAGTAATCGGGTCATCTCTTCTGGGGAGATTTCCTTCCTCCTTTTCTTTTCCTTCCCTCCCCTTCCTTTTCTTTCCTCCTTTCATTTTTTTTCTTTTCTTTTTCCTTTCCTTTCTTTTCTATCCTTTCCTTTCCTCATTTTCCTTCCTTTCTTCCTTTCTCTTGCTCCTTCCCTTCCTTTCCTTTCCTTTCCTTTCCTTTCCTTTCCTTTCCTTTCCTTTCCTTTCCTTTCCTTTCCTTTCCTTTCCTTTCCTTTTCCTTCCTCCTTTCATTTTTCCTTTCCTTTCACTTTTCCTTTCCCTTTCCTTCCTTCCTTTCCTTTCCTTTATCTTCCTTTCCTCGTTTCCCTTCCTTTCCTCATTTCTCTTCCCCCTTCCCTTCCTTTTCTATTCTTTTTTTCCTCTCCACTCCTCCCCTCCCCTTCCCTTTCTATATTTTGCATATTATGAATTGGAAAACGGTACAACAAGGCAGCCTTTGTGGGTGGAAATACGCAGGGCACAATTTTCACTCTTGGTGACTCTTTGAATTTCCTCTCCTTGTGGTATCCCCCCCTAACGAACCGCTGACGCCAGCCGGGTTTAGGTTGGCAGAGCTAACAAACTGCATGGCTTGCTGAGCTGAATTCATTTTCCTACTTTACTAATTCAATATCATGGGTGAAATTCCACACAAGCCAGGAGTGGGAAGAAGGAAGGAAGGAGGAGGAAAGGAAGTAAGAAAAGAAGGGAGAGAAGGGGGAGGGAGGGAAGGAAGGAAAGGAGAGAAGAGAGAGGGAGGGAAGGATGGGAGGAAGGGGAAGGGAGGAAAGGAGGGAAGGAAGGAAGAAAAAGGGGAAAGATGGAGGGAGGGAGACATGGAAGGAAGAGAAAAAGGGAGGGAGAGGGAAGGAAGAGAAAATGGGAGGGAAGGAAGAGAAGAGGGAGAGAAGGAAGGAAGGAAGAGAAAAGGTGAAGGACGGAGATGGGAGGAAAAGGGGAAGGAAAGAAGAGAAGAGAGGGAGGGAGGAAGGAATGAAGGAGGGAGACAGAAGGAAATGGAAGGAAAGAAGAGAGAAGGGAGGGAAGGAAGGAATGGGAAAGGAGGGAAGGAGGAAAAAGGGGGAAGGAAGGAAGGGAGAGAACAGGAAGGGAGAGAAGGAAGGAAAGGAGAGAAGAGAGAGGGAGGGCAGAAGGGGAAAGGAGGGAAGGAGTGAAGGAAGGAAGAAAAAGGGGAAGGATGGAGGGAAGGGAGGCAGACACAGGGAAGGAAGAGAAAAAGGGCGGGAGAGGGAAGGAAGAGAAAAGGTGAAGGACGGAGATGGAAGGAAAAGGGGAAGGAAAGAAGAGAAGAGAGGGAGGAAGGAGGGAGACAGAAGGAAATGGAAGGAAAGAAGAGAGAAGAGAGGGAAGGAAGGAATGGGGAAGGAGGGAAGGAAGGGAGAGAAGAGGGAAGGAAGAGAGAGCGAGAGAAGGTGAAGGGAGGGAAGGAAAGAAGGAAATTATGTCAGTGCTGCTGCTTTTCTGAACTAAGAAGGAACTGAAATAATTGCATCCAAATTGCTGCGCAAGCAATTTGGATGATAAGGGGACCATTGATGAAATGTTTTCCCTCTTGTCTCCTGGGTTAATTAATTTTCTGCTTACTGTGTTTTACAACGGCAGCCTTGATACTAAATTGAATCTGATACCTTGGTCCTGAGCGGTGTGGGTGGCACTGTGTAGATGGGTTCAGGCAGAAGGGAGACAACCCTTCTTTCATTTCCCTTCCTATGTTGAGAAGCGGGGTGGGCCGGATGGCCTCTAGGGACCATGGATGCTGTGAAAATGGTCTCTTTCGTAAGGATCCCAGCAGCCGGCAAATGTCTTGAAAATGTATTTAGACCTGGGCTGGTGGCTTGACTGATGAGCTGTAACCTCATTATTTTTGCTCATTTCTATCACAGCACTGAGAAAATGATATTTATGGGAATTTTATAAAAATCTAGAGAGGCAATTCTTTTTATTAAGCCAACTGATTCTGTGTCTCTGTGTGGTTTGTGGAGGTGTGTGAAAAGAAATGCTTTGGCATTTCAAGGTCCCTTCATCAGATTTAGAAAAATAACTTAGTAAGGGTCACTTTTACGTCCAAGAGTTAAGACACAAGATTACAAAACGGGATACGGAGAGTTCTAGTCCAGCCTTAGGCAGGAAAGCCAGCTGGATGACTTTGGGCCAATCACCAGGAGACTGTGAGTTCTAGTCCTGCTTGAGTCATGAAAGACAGATGTGTTACACAGCTGTGTTACTAATTCAACAACTGCAACAGCCATGGAAAGACAGACAGACAGACATATTTTCAAAGTCTGAAGGGGACCTAATGAGCTGTTCACTCATTCAGTTGGCATAGAACTTCAACTCCGATGCTATTTTTAAAGTTCTGATTCAGGGCTACACGATATGCAGATGACTTAAATTGTGATTTCTTTTTATTTATAATACCTGAATCATCTTCACTGATACTTGTCACCCAGGGACGCATCTGTGCAATTGTTCCGTTTTATTTTTGCGGCTGTTACCGAGAGAGGAGCAAATAGCAAATATTGAATGCAGAACTAGGGTTGAGTGCGACTTTTAACCTACTCGTCTTACAACCCTTTGTTTAGTGACTGTTCCAAATTACGATGGCAAAAGGTGACTCGTGGCCATTTTTCACACTTACGACGGTTGTAGCCTCTCGGCGGTCACATGATCAAAATTCAGACACTGTGATCACCCAAAGGGGCGTGGCACAAAGGCAACACAGTCAGATAACCAGTGGGAATCCCTTTATTAGCTCCAACTTTGCCCCCAATGTCCTGGGCTGGAGAAAAACTCTCAGGAACAGCCTTTGGCTGCAGAGAATCAAGTCCAAAACGTGGTCAACAAAAACTGTAACACCAATCAAGGCAAAATGAGGTAATTAGTCTGGCAGGGCAGGAGCAAGGATTCCAGACCTGCGTGAAGGCACGGCAGTAATTCAATACGGTTGGGAAGGATGCCAGGAACGCAGATAACTAAAGTCAACATAAGATAAACTCATGTTTGTTCCCAGCAGTCTGCAACTCTTTTAAATTCTCATTCCTAGGTGTGGCTAATGAAGGGAATCAGGGCCCTTTCCTCCCCCGTAAGCCATGCAACCCACCTTGCTCCCTCCTCCATTCCTCCCTGCGTGCCCTTGGATGAAGACGGGGTGGACCTGGGTCGTCCTCTGAATTCTTTCTCCCTTGTTCTACCTCTTCCCTGCTCTGCCCAGCCAGACTTTGCCCTTCCCCAGTTTCCTCCACAGCCAATGGAGCCACACTCCTGCTCCCTTTCAGCTGTTTGTCTTCCTCCTCCTCGGATTCAGACTCTGGCAGGGGCATGACAGATGCTTGGCAACTGACTCATATTTATGATGGTCACAGCATCCTTGGTCAAGTGATCCCCTTTTGCGACCTTCTGATAAACAAAGTCAATGGGGAAGCCAGATTCACTTTACAACCATGTTTCTAACTTAACAACTGCAATGATTTGTTTAACAACTGCGGCAAGGATGGTCATATAATGGGGTAAAATTCACTTAAGAAACATCTCACTTAGCAGCCTGGGCCTCGGTTGTGGTCGTAAGTGAGAGACCACCTGTGTCTTTGGGGGGAAGGGGTGTGTCGTAACGTCAAACGGTTGCTAAGCGACGATCGTAAGTCGAGGCCTACCTGTTTCCAATACAGGCAACCTTTCCTGTCATTATCAAGTGATTCTGCCTTTTTCTCATTGCTAATTTAACCGCGTTTTCAGCATGGACTCTGCCTTGGGGCATCACTGGAAGTGGTAAATCAACCGATCCTTAACGTAGAAAGCAGTTTTATGAGACCCCACGTGATCCCATGCAAGAAATGTTCCACAAAATTCACTTAAACAGCTGTCTGCCTTAGCAACAGAAATTTGGGGCTCCGTTGTCATCAGTCAATCTGTACAATAACATCATAGCAAGTGTGATGTCATCGTAGCTTCTCCCAGACACCTGAAAAAACCTCGGTTAGGAGTTGCAGGTATCCTGAATTTTAGCTGGGCCACATTGACCAAAACGTTCAACCATTTCCCCAAGGGACAGCCTGGCTACCTTCCCATAATCCAATTCACCTAGTTATCGAAAGGAGCTATTTCTGCATTCACACAATGCATGCAGTCATAAACTAAACCGGCAGGTTTATTTATTTATTATGAGAAGGTTATTTATTTATTCATATTTATTATGAGAGGGATCTTGGCGTCTTAGTGGACAGCCAGCTAAATGCGAGCCAGCAGTGCGCAGTGGCAGCCAAAAAGCCAATGCAATCCTAAATTGCATTAACAGAGGGAGGTCTTCTAAGATTAATCAAGATCACGGGAGGTACTAATATCACTCTATAAAGCCTTAGTAAGATGACACTTAGAATACCACATCCAATTTTGGTCACCACACTATAAAAAAGATTTTAAGATTCTAGAAAAAGTACAGAGAAGAGCAACCAGGATGATTAGGGGACTGGAGGCTAAAATATACGATGAATGGTTGCAGGAACTGGACACAGCTAGTCTTGTGAAGAGAAGGACCAGGGGAGACAGTCTTCCAATATTTGAGGGGCTGCCCCAGAGAAGAGGGGGTCAAACTATTTTTCAAGATACCCAAAGGCCAGACTAGGAATAATGGTTTATACAGCCGCTCAACTTTCCCTCATTTGCCTTTGCACCAACTGCCTAAACCACCAGAACAGGGTTGGGCTAACCAGGTTTAAAATTTAGTTTAGCTTGCAATCCCCTGTTCTTAACAGAATCAGTGAAGTTGGTTGTGCGAACAAAACTCTCAGGTGAAAAAAATGAATCTTTTTTTTAAAGTGCCTATAAAAAGTCGTTCTTTGCCTCCATTTGGAGAATTTTCGACTTGATTAAAATCTTTTCTTTTCCTGGACCTCGAGGGTTACAGAGATGTGATTCCAAAGACTTGGAAGCAAACTAAAACGTTCAGGAGATTTCTCTGGTCTAGTTTTCATATGGGACAGTTTTATTTTTATTTTTTTAATGAGCCCGTGTGGTTTCGCTCAACCTTCAGTGCAGCTGTAATCTTAGAAGTCTTGGCTGAGGATGGCACATTTATTTATACGGTGACTTGATAGCTCTTAAAAATAGCCCTGAATAAAATGCGGTGGTCTTCTTGGGACGGCCAATCTTCTGATTGAAAGCCTCTCATTCATCCAAAGAAAATGCCTTTCTCTAAAGCAAGAAAATGAATTTTGAAAGAGGAGGCCTCGAGCAATGAAAAAAAAGTCTGTACATGGATTAAAAAAGGATCTGCGGTGCCTGATTATTACTATTATTATTATTTGCTCCAAGATATTGGTCGGAGAAGCTTCTGCAATATTTATTGCAGGAGATTTCTTTGAGGTCAGCAGCTGACATTAAAGTGGAAGTCAATATTTTTCCCTGGGGGGAATTTCCTTAGAATTGAAGTCGGTCTAAAGTTATTTTGATGGCCACCCCAAAGCAAAGATTTATCAGTCAAGGTATTATTGGAAACATCCCCCTTAATTGCCAAAATAAAAATAAAATAACTTAAGAATAAAAATGCATGGTGGCAGTTTAAGGAATTGCCTAGTCAGCTTAAAGCCAACGGAGAAAACCAAGTTGCCAAGTGTCTGAATTTTGATCACGTTACCAAGGGGATGCCGCAACTGTCGTAAGTGTGAAAAACTTTAGTGAATGGTCACTGTTGTATTGTTGTAAGAATCCTCTACCTGACTCTGTGGTTTCTTCCCCAAACCCCAAAAACTTTAACCTTAGACTGTCTACTATTGACCTCACCCCTTTCCTAAGAGGTCTGCAGGGGGCGTGCGTAAGCGCACCAATTGTGCCTACCATGCCTCTCCTATTGTTTCTTTTTATTTTTCTTATATATATCCATTTCATGCATTCATAACTATGTTTTTACTTATACCTATTATCTTGTAAGCGATTGACAAATCAAATCAATAAATAAATAAGTTGAGGACTGCTTGTATCTGTAATCTCGCCATAGTAATCATATCTTATAATTTATAATGGATTTATTCTCTGATTATAATCATGATTTATCACGTTGCTTGTATGTATACTGATAGCTTATGCACCAGAGACAAATTCCTTGTGTGTCCAATCATATTTGGCCAATAAAAAATATTCTATACTATTTCTATTTCTATTATTTCTATTTCTACCCTAC